TGCAGCACCCTTTAAAATTTTGAGTATTTGCAAATTTAGGAAACTTTTAATGAAGCAAAGAGGGCATGAAATCTGATCCACATCATTAAATCCCAAATTATGTAACTGAATATGCTTCAGCTGGTTAAACATAGTTGGAAACCTCCTCAGTACCATACCTGCTGCCAAAAACTTTACAAAAAATGCATCGAAAGTAAGCTTCTGAATTTTAGACAAATTGCCAAAAATATTGGTCATATCAATGCTTCCCAACCTTAATCGATTTTCTAATTCTTTACACAGTTCTATACGGATCACTATCAGGTTTGGGATTCCAAGAAATTATGGCCAAAAGCAGCAAGAAATCACCGGAAAAAGTGTTCCGGCTAATTCAAGTTTCTTCAAAAACATGAACTTATATATATATATATATATATATATATATATATATATATATATATATATATTTTGTAAAATTATTTTTCTATTAACCTGATGGCTGAGTTACAGACTTGAGTTCTGAAGATCAACTCAACTTAATAAGCTTAAGTTCAGATTAGTATGAACCAACAAATATATTTTGCAGTAAGAGAACACGTTTATGAGAGCATACTAGTTGTTAGCAAAATTTCCATGGGAGATCGCGGATTGGGCAGCCTGCCCAGTAATTAAGATCTTAACATACTGATCCACCTAAAGCCCTCTGTTCATGTGATGTAATACTCAAATAATAGTAGCCAGCAGCAAAGTATGACTAATTAATCACTTCTAGCTCGCGCTTATATAATAATTATGCATGTTTGGATTTGTTGATCAAGATTATATAGATATAAAATTAACAGGAAATCAAGATCAGAACACTTATCTGATTAATTTATGGCTTTTTGGGCTCGGATGGAGATCTGATTACCAGGGCAAACACACTGGATGCCTTTTGGGTTTTCCATTCATCAGTCTTGCTACGTATTATTGTTCGAAAGCGTATTAAGCGGCGTTATTGATGGAAAGAACCTTGTGGGCCGGCTTGCGTTTTTGGACGTCGGCACTTGTTACATAGAGATCTTTGGCCATGAGAGTCGTTGTTGGAAAGGTCTTGGGTTCAAATCCTGGACTTGAAGATTTTAATTTGCAGTGTTGTAACTTTGGTGGGGATATATTTCTATATGATTCCCACATACGGCGCCAAAGTGTAGGTGCAAAATTTCGCTCAACCAATAATGATTGAGAAAAATAAAACAACTCACTCAAAAAGCAATAAAAATAAATAAGAAATAAGAACAGTGTATAGAGAAGCGTAGAATTGCTTGGATCCTTTTATTGGATGTCTGGGCCTCTATTTATACACAAAAATTGGTAGAATTAAGGTAGGACTCGCGTTGCTTGTCCTCCAATTCTTCCCATACATGACTTTCTTTACAAATAGAGTTCTTTCTATTATATAATATTTTCTACGCAGAACTTGCCTTGTATAGAACTTCCTATCAAAGAATTCTCCTTTTATGACAAATCCTTCTACCGATAAGACTTGTTCAATCTTGGAAAACTTGGCTGAATATACTTTGAACCAGTTGGGCTTGAATAACGGGCCGGATGTTTAATATTAACATGTTGAGCTGATAATCTCTTGATTCGGGCTTCAATAGGGCTGAAGGTCAAATAACAATAGTATTGGGCTTGTGAACATTGAACTTGGACTAGTATCAAACTCAATTTGGGTTTGATCCGGATGGGCTTCTGAAATCTACCAAATGTAGATTTATATAGTGATGACGTGTTCAATTCTCATTGGAGGGAATTTTTTCCCTCCACAGCCTCAAATTAGTAATAACAGTGATGGGTGTGCAGACCATTTTTAATTTGTATCCCTTTTTAGTTTCTGCTTAGTTGTTTTTACATCCTGCTGTTCAATTCTTAAAGGATTTTGTACTATTTTAGTTTTTCCCTCAACTGTTCTTGCATTTTTTGTTCAAACTCGTAGGAGTGACCACAATTGCTTCCTACGTGGGTCCTTCCCTGATCTCAAATTTTGTGAATTCCTTATCCGGAAAGCATCAAATTTCAAGCTATAACCATGGAATGATTCTTGCAATCATCTTCTTCCTCTGTAACACGGTCGAATCACTGTCTCAAAGACAATGGTCCTTTGGTGCTGAACGTGTAGGCTTCCAAATCCTAGCAGCTCTTTTGGTATTAATTTACAAGTTGTCTCTCTCAGTTACACCTGCTGCAACAAGAACACGAAGCATAGTTAATTTCATAAATGCAGACACTCAGAAGATAGGAGACTTCTTTCTTCAATTTCATCATATTTGGTTGCTGCCTGTACAGGTGTCTCTGTCATTGGTAATCCTTTGTTTTAATCTTGGCCTGATCCGGTCGCTGCTCTCTTCACCGCGGTTCTGGTGATGGTGAGCAATACACCTTTATCGAAGATGCAGAAAGAGCTCCACTCCAAAATAATGGAGACTAAGGAGTAAGGACTCTAGAATTAAAGCCACTTCAGAGACTCTAAATAGCATGAGAGTCCTAAAACTACATGCTTGAGAATCAGGGTGGTGTCGGGCAACGTTAAAATTTTATAGGTATATAGTTGAAAATGAGAAAAATCAGTGGTATTTAATACTAAAAAAAAAAAAAAAAAATCAGTGGACAACTGACCCCCTCCTCCCTCCTCTTGAAATCCGTGCCTAGGTTTAAATGCAATTAAGTTTAAATAATTTTAGAGTTCAACAAATATAAACACAAAAGAAGAAAGTGAAAACTACACAAAGGAATAAACGCATGGACATACAAGAACAAAGAAGAGATGAAAGTGAAAATTACACAAAGGAAAAAACGCATGGACATAGAAGAAAAAAAGAAAAGAAAGGGTAATCTCTTATATACCTGTTACATAAGAAATTTTCATATTTCACAGAACTCGTTGATCTAGCGAGTGGAGATCATCTCAGCGAGTGTTCGCATGTATAAGAGGTGACATTCGTTGGGCATGATACTTCATAAGATTTGTTGGATGTGATACCTCAGAGAATCCCGGCTCTTGATTTAACATTGAGTTAAAAATGTGAAATTTGGCCACGCTGTTGAATGAAGGCATTAAAGAAATGGAAACAACATTTAGAATCCCAACAGTAAACATAATTTTAAGTATAATGCAGAATATCATGGCAGGGATTACAAAGATATTTAACTTTCTTTTGACAATTAATTATGTAACATATATTTGACAAATTATACATCTAAGAGCATCTCCAAGACTCCAACAGATGCTTCAAATCCTAAGTGGCACATGCAATGACTAATTTTGGTATAAAGAACTCTTTCAACTACCTTAAATGCATACCTGACTACGGATGTCAATTCTTACCGCCCCAACCTGTTCCGTTAATAACGGATATGAGAACACTTTCTATACCGTTGGAGTGGGCATGGATACAAATTTTGTACTCGTCGCGGGTCACGGGGCGGGTAAGGTATCAGTATACATATCCTAGGGGTCCCGTCCCGCTCCGATCCGCTAAGCATATAACTATATTTAATATATATATATATATATATATATATATATATATATATATATATTAATAACTTATTTTAGTGGCTTACCCAGTTACCCATTTCTTATAATCCTAATTTGGGATGTAAACGTGGTATTAAATTTGTTTTTGTTTTTGTTATGGTGGAAGTTGAAGCTTCGAATTTTTTGTGATTTGGTTATATTAAACTTTTATTTTTGTTTATTATATTCTCTAAATTATGTTATTTGCATGTTATTATTATTATTATTATTATTTTTGTTGAGATACATAATTTCATTTATGTGGTGTCATTTCTAGGCTTTCCACATTTAAATAGCAGGAGCTTAAGTTTCAAAAAGTAGGAAAAAAAAATTTGTTAGCGGGACGGGCACGGGTGCATAGTATTTTCCAATGGGGCGGGGCTGGGCATGAAAATCCAACCCGTCGCGGGTCTCGAGGCGAGCATGGACTTGACAAAAATTAAAAGGGGCGGGGCTGGATTTAAGGAAACCCGCTCCAAACCCGCCCCGTTGCCATCCCTATACCTGACATTTGACATATGAGGCAATATGTCAAATTTGGTATATCAAAAAGTTTATGCCAAATTAATTTTTTATTATTATTATTTTAATATATGGATCCCGCATATAATTCAAATTTAGGTTATTGGTAGATCTGTTCAAAACTTAAAATATTAATAAATTTGACACATGGGGTGGAACGTGTCAATTTCAATTTGCATATAAGGTGGAATATGTTAATTTCAATTTGCTACGTCATACCTCAAATTTGAGGTATGAAATTTGAAGATTCAGGGACGGAAACGCTCTAAGACTTCAGTAACATCGTGTTTTATATAATTAGTTTAGTGGTGCCTTCCAAAGTAGAAGATCGAGTACAGTACTTCTTTACCTTTCTAGAAGAAGCGAGTGTATGTGAGTCATATATAGATTATTAGCGTGCCCCAGCATGAGGATGACAGTAAAGTGGCTTCATTTGCAAAGAGAGTGCCAATTACTTTTTGGTGTTTTTTAAACTAAAATTTTCACACAATGGTAAAGCATCTTGAATTGCTTCACGATTTCATCAAAACCAAGTCTGGTAAACAAAGTTTCACCACCTCTATCTATACATCTTATCTTGTCTTCTTCTTGTTATTTTTATTTTATTACAGTATTTTTTTTTTTTTGGGAATAACGCGATGCTCAAATGCATTGGTATTAGAAATTCTCATCCGCTCAGATATTGCTGTGTCTTAACATAATATGTGGTTTACATAAGGAGCACAAGCTAGAAAACGCATTGCATATTCTTCAGCAGGTTTTCCAACAAAATACCAAATACAGTTAAGTCCCACAGTAAATACCTGTGGCCTAGTGGTTGTGATCTTTGCAAGGACAGACCATAATGAATTGGCATTTTAGCTTATTATAGTGCATATAAATCCACTGTGCTAAGAAAATGAATCCATAGAAGTGATCTAGGTACAGAAATTAACATCCATCAATCAATGACGACAAGCTTGTTATACTCATCCCTAGCAATGGCAGATTCCATGGTGTGCTCAGGGTTCAAAATCCCATCTTCCTTCAAGAACACTTTGAGTAGATTCTTTGAGAAACCGCTCACAAGTGCCACCGCTTTCTGATGGCTCGGCACTGGAGTGGCTCTGGAGTCTCTCAGATTCCAAAACACTATCTCTGGCACACACGACCCGTACCCACTCTCCTTAAACTTCCGGCATATTGCTTCGTAGTCAGTCTCCCATGGATTCCAGGACGCCAAGTCGAATTCCATGTCACTGAACACAAATAGCCTTTTTATCATCTGTTCCTCACTAAGTTTTCCTTCTTTTGCCACTTCCAAGATTTTATCAAAAACCCTCTGAAAATCCGTATTCAAATCCCAATGCATCCGTTCTATCGAACTGACCTTTGATTCAAGACTTTCTCCCTTAATCATCTGAAGCTGAGGATTGCGACTGAAAGTAATGAGCTTTCCTTTCCAGGGTTCTTCACTCAAATCAGAAACTAATAGTCCAAGTGCCACACTTACATCCAATGGTGTAGGGATACCAATTGTTAGTCTATATGTCATGCTCCCTGATACATCACATATAGCAAGGCAGTTTTTTAGCGTCCCTTTTTCTGAGAGATCTTCCACAATTCTCTGCCATTGCAGTTCTGCAACTTTGGCGCCATCTCCTCCTTTGCGCACTGATTCTATGATCTGGTGAGGAAGCAATGCCCCGGCAGCAATCTTCCTGTCCCCGCGCTTCACACTCCCCAGATACTCCTCAAACCGCTCTTTATCACGTTTCATGAACGTCTCCTTGTAGTTTTTCATGGCAATAGAAGGGACTCTGTTGTAAGGAAGCACTCCCCACTCTTGTGCACTCATGTAAACCTCAAGTACCTTTAGAGCTTTCCGTAATGGCACAAGCACTTCTTTGCGTAGACGATCTCGGACTCTATAAGCATAATGAGCATCTTCTATGCCTTGGTATTCTGGATAATGGTCTCGTGGGAATAGTCTCCTTGCTATGCTTTCGCATAGAAGGGTGTATCGATCATAAAAGGAATAAAGAGAGGGGCACCACTTTGCAGCAAAGCTGATATTTCTCAGATTGCCCTTATGCAGATTAAGTAAATCAGATTTCAGTCTCTCTGTGAAGGTGTTTGATATCTGATCGTGTAAGAATCGGTAAACTGGATCGTTGTTGTACTTGTCCACAATTCTCTTGCCCACAGCAATCCTTTTCTCCTCATTTGATAATTCTTCTTTAAATTTGTAAAAGAAGTTCTTCATGACCCTTCCATTCTTCTTTTTATGAGCGTCCAAGCCTTCAAGCAGACGGTATAGAATTTCGGGCAAGTCCTTGAAGTACCCGAATTCAGCTATGGAAGAGGTGTTGTGTGCTAGTGTCATGGGGTGACTTCCATGAAGCCACAAGGCCGCAGCGTAGAATCCTTCTTTGTCTGCTTTTCCGGTGCCTCGAACACCTCTCAAGTTGCATACAAGTTTGAGAGCAGTCAGAGGGTCTTGGTCCCAAGCTAACTGCAACCGGCTGGTTACCGATTCCGAGGGTGTATCAGGAACCACATGGAAGAAGAAATCTAGACATGGATTTCCACTGGATAGGAAGGTTGGGGTGAGGTTTTCTGTCAAACCCATACAAGGTGGTGGTGTCCCCTTATTGTACTTGGAGACCATCAAATCCATGAATGGGTCACTGACGGCTGGGACCGGAACCGGAACCGGAACTGGGGCCGGGGTGTAAATTTCTGGTGGACCAAGCAGCGGAAATGGAAGGTCAGATTTCGAACTTTGAATGCTAAGATTCAACAGGTTTTCTGTCAAACCCATACATGGTGGTGGTGGCCCCTTATTGTACTTGCAGACCATCAAATCCATAAAGGGGTCTGTGATATCTCCAGATTTCCGAATGCGGGTTGGCCAGGCCCACGCCCGAATACCCGAGGATATCAAAAACAAATCGGTAATAAACGAACACAGAGTACAAAGAATAAAGAAGAATAAATAAAATGCTGACAATAAACTAAAATGATAATCTAATAATAAACCTCATAATATATTTCCATTAATTAATAAACTCTTCTGATACAATTGATCCTCTAAAATACAACTCGGGAATCCATATTGTGTGGACCCCTAGAAAATCCAAACTAAACAAATGACAGCACTAACTGTCTAAATCAGGAAACTGAATCATAAATGAACTCTTATGTAACATCGGAAGAATGAAGTAGATTGATCCCCGCTCAGCACGAACAACCTCTACTCCTGACGAACACCTGAAAAATAATGGTGGGTCAGGCCCACAAACAAGTTCTACTCTACTACAGTCCAAGCAGAGATCCGATACACGTATACATACTAGTCAATCCAACAGTAACTAGTAGTCTGTATATATATATACACACACACTAAAGGAACCTCACTAGATTATAGGGTTGTCTCAACCTGAATAATAGGTAACATGCAAAACGCACATATAGTGGGCATGAGTACCTAGACCTACCAGGGTACACAACTACATTATATCTAGCTACACATCCCTGACGATATACGCACCCTAACCACTGATCCTGAGACTCAAGCTCATATCATGGCACCATACTTATATATATAAAATCTAGTAACCATCCTATTCAGTATAAATTAATCCTCCATAAGTCATTCAACTTGTTCAGCTGACCTGACTTGAATATAAGTAGGACTTAACATTTTAGTTAATCCATTCCCTTATATAATAAATTAATCCTTCATAAGTCATTCAACTTGTTCAGCTGACCTGACTTGAATATAAGTAGAACTTAACATTTTAGTTAATCCATTCCCTTATATAAAATAGGTAGGACTTAACTGATAAGTTAATCCGTCCCTAGAATGCCACCGTCCCATACCGGTGCATTAAACCACACAATCCAACAATTAATGTAACGATTAAGGAAATACATCAAACAATCCAGAAATAACTATAATAATATGATATCAAGTTATCGCAAAATAGGAATGACTTATTATTTATTTAAGCTTCCTATATCATATGTCCTACATAAACTGATTCTTATACATACGATGATATTTTATTATACCGTCAAATAAGCATTCTCCATATCCAATTCCTCCTACACATTTAATCTCAATTGCTAAAACATATTAAAAAATTAAATTCATTCGTTTGTTTAAAACATTCAATTAGCAAGCATCATTATGATTGAGTCTATTTAAATTTATTTAAACCCAAACCTAATTCATATTTAATGTTCAGGAATCCTAGGCATGTTTCTACGTTCCATCATTCCACAGATATGAAAAATACATAATTTAAACATGTAAAAATTCACACCGAAAATCAAATCAAAATCATGCATTTATCAATTCATAACACAAAAACAGATATGAACAAAATTCATAAAACCTATGTTCTAATCCAATTAAACATGCATAATTATTTAATTTTATGTGTTTAATAAATCCTGAAATTTCCTAGGCATGTACAGAAACACGAATCAAAGGGAAAGAGATAGAAGAAGAACTTGCCATAAACTTTCGGATCGAAAGTTACAGTTCTTCTTCCTTGATCTTCTCTCTACAAGGTTTTTCTCCTCATTTCTTCCTTTTTCCTCCTTTTCCTCCTTCCCTCTCTAACTCTCTCTCTCTCTAGATTATATCACTTGAATATTTCTAACCCCCTTTTACAACCTATAGCTATATATTTATAGGCTAAATAAAATAACCCTAACCCTTTTCTCAATCCAAGTTAACTTAAAAAAAAAAAAATACTAAAATATTAAAAAGGTAAGTAAAATATGTTACGTATATAATTTATGTATATCTTTATTAAATAAATAAATTATACACATCCCATTATTTATTAATGGATTATCCAATAATACTTAAGTTACCATAATATTATAAAGTAATTTTAAAACATAACACGTATCAAATCTACGTATTTTTATTATTTAAATATAAAACATATACATCAGATTGAATATTACTACCTAAGTTACCATAAAAGTAATTAATAATTACTTTTCCCTTTTATATATATTAAAAAGGTAAGTAAAATATGTTACGTATATAATTTATGTATATGTTTATTAAATAAATAAATTATACACATTCCATTATTTATTAATGGATTATCCAATAATACTTAAGTTACCATAATATTATAAAGTAACTCAAAACATAACATTTATCAAATCTATATATTTTTTTATTATTTAAATATAAAACATATACATCAGATTAAATATTACTACCCAAATTACCATAAAAGTAATTAATAAATTACTTTCCTTTTTATATATGTATATAATATATATCTATAAATATACATACACAACTATTCATGGATAATAATTCATACACATCGAACCTCCTATCCAAGTAGTCCATGGGACCCAATTGGTTGACCCATTACTACTAACCATAACCATAAAAGAAAAATAAAATAAAATAATAAAATAAAAGAAAACATTTAATTTACAATTAATCAAAACACCATTTAAGTATATAATCTAATTAAATAATTAACACATAAACAAATACAAATAATACATAGACACATAATCAAATAATCAAATAATATCTAATTCAATTAAACACATAAACAATTCATTAAATAATCAAAATTATTATTAATAATTAAAAATACAATTAAAACAAATAAATAAATACCGAGTCTATCCTTTTAAAATTAGGGGTATTACAGGGTCACTGATGGCCGAGGCTGAGGCCGGAATGTAAATTTCTGGTGGACCAAGCAGTGGAAACGGAAGGCCAGATTTTGAACTTCGAATGCTATGATTACACATGTACCGCTTTATCAATAGTGGACGAAATTTTGTATAGTGGATGTCTCTGAAACCAACACATCTGAGATTTGCTTGTAGCAACATTTTGATGTAGAATTAGAAATATATAAGAATCTGACATTAAAAAGTTTCATGTTAGAACATACAGTAAAGGAAGAAAACGGTTATGAAACAGGAAAATACGTACAAACCAGTTGTATGTTTGAAAAATCGCGCAAATAGAAGTGTTCTATTGTAGAATTATTTGTCTATTGTGTGCAGAACATTTATCATCAGCAAGAATACCTAATTTACACATGATCAGAATAACAGTATGTCAAGAAGTAGAAGTGCAGCATCATCGAATACATATAGAATTGTTGTATTATTGTATATCAACATATATAATCAGGAATTTTGTTAGAGGATCACTTGAATATTCCTTGCCTCTCGACACAATCATACCTATTAGCTCCATATCTATAGTTGACACTCACCATACCCCAATGATAACTTTATTCTTAATTGAAAGATTTTACTCAATTCAAATACATTGATAACTTTCTTCTTAATTGAAATACATTGTATCAAATGATTCAAATACATTGACACACAATCATACCTAATTGACTCCAAATCTATAGTTGACACTCACAATGGCCAATGATAACTTTCTTCTTAAGTGAGAGATTATATTTCAATTCAAATATTACAATTTGAACTTTTACTATTTCACCAAAGAATTCCCTCTCATAAATGAATTATATATATACATTTAGATTTAGGAAAAGTTAAACACCATGAAGTGGTAAATATTCTAAAGCTTTTAAGCTATGTTAGGGGATCATTGAATCGCGCAACATTAAATTTTTTATACTTCCAATTATATAAGAACCCTATTCACTTTTCATACTTCAATTGAATGACTGAGTATGATCAATCATGCTTCTGGTAACATCCAACCTAATCATATACATTTAACTTTCCACAAAATAAGACTGCCAAAAGAAACTTACGCCGTGTTTAGCGGTATAAAATTGAAGTCCTTGAATTAGAATTGGTGGAATTTGAGAAAAGCAACCCCGAAAAATGAACCAAAATTTTCACAAATTCCACCAATTCCAATTCTAAGACTCCGATTCCATGGCCTCAAGATAATCCTAATTATCCAAGATCAACAAATTCGATAGATTGATGAGTCTCAAAATTTCACTAAACGCCTCTTGACTAACTAAAACTTTCTCTGTTTCTTTCTCTTTCTTTTTCCCCTAAATTTAGTGTCTATGGAAATCATATATCTATTAAAAAATAATAATTAATCACACTAATCGGCCAAACTGTGAGTCGGCTAAAGCGTAAAATTAGGGTTTTAAAAGTATATTGTCCTTAGTACTCATCAACTAGAAACAGGACAACGAAAGAGCATATGAAATCAACTTCAATTAACAAGAACACAAGAATGTTAAAATGAAAATGTCCAAGAGAAGTAATTTTGATATCAATTTCATGCACACACACACACATATATATATAGATAAGCGTTGAATAATCTGTTAATTTATTGTGTGAATCAACTGACCTTTTACTTAGATTGATCAAATAGTGAATAGAAGCAAACTGATGTGTGATTCTCAAGGAGGACGATTGATTCTGCGTAGAGATTTTGTAATAGGTTTTAGAAGGAAGAGTACAAGTGACTGTTAAGTTTCTGTACAGGGAGAGAGAGGGGGGAGGAATATTCTGGAGGTTTTACGAGGGTTTGATAAGATTAAACGAACAGTATTTCTTTAATGTAAGGATATTTTTTTACTTGATTGACAAGAAACCCTGCAAATGACCTTTTGCTGCGTTACTTAATCCTAAGGCTTGTTTGGTACATAGATTTATTTTTAAACGGTTAAAAAAACATATTTGGTAAAAATTAATTATTTTTTTTTTACACAATATCAAAACGTGTCATGAATAATATTTAAAAATCAAAACATTAATTTGATATAACTACATTTTTAAACTAACTATTATATTTTAGGGTAAAGTGCAAAAAAAAATCCTTTCAACTATTGGCCATGTGCAATTAACCTCCCT